TGGTAACTGAGCCCAAAGCCCTAACCTATGCCCCACACGCGGAAACCCTAGGCCCTAAATCCTCAACTCTTTTCCCTTTACTCTAGGATGCCCTGAACCCTAAACCCTGCCCTCTGGCTCTGTGGCCAACCAAGTCCCTGGCTGACACTGAGCTAAAAGTAATTTCGCAGCAGAGGTCATCAAAGAAGAGCCGCAAGCTGGTGCCCTACAAGCCGGAAGGGGTTGCGCAATATTGGGATACAAAGGGATAATGGAAAAGAAAATGGAAACTACTATGTTATATAGGGTTCTATTAAGGTTATATACAAGCCATAATGGAAAAGAAAATGGAAGCCGCTATTATAGGATTTAAGGTTGAAGCTTTTCATTGAGGGATATAACGGGATACATTGAGATATATACATAGAGGAGTATATCAGGACATATGTAGGGGCATATAGGGTTAAGGTGAAGGGTTGAGCGTTTAGGGTGTAGTGTAGGGCCTACCTATTCATGCGGCATGTACAGGAGTAAGTGTGTAAGGATATATAGCTATATATAGGGATATGCAGGGTATACGAGTGATATCCTTATACGGATATACGGGGGGTTGCTGTGATTTATATTTATATGTATATGTAGAAAGCAACAAGTAAGGGATATAGCATGTACAACCTTGTATAGTTGGCATGGTAAAGTGGTATGTAGTTGGCGCTAAATTTCTTCCAGGGAAAACCAATTAAGACTCGCACTGACAAATTCGGACATGGGAGTTCTTAAAACATGGGACCTTAGGGACCTGGGGATACATAGCTTTAGGTTTCGCATGCTATATAGGGTTGCATACGGTTCTATAGGGGTTCTGTAGGGGTCCTTAGGGTCGTGAGGGGTTCTATGGGGTTCTACAGAGGGCTCTATACAAAGTTCTATAGGGTTCTAAACCCTAAACCCTAAACCCTAGGGTTCTAGAGGGCTCTATTGGTTGATTCTGATCCTGCACCAAGTGCCAAGAGCTTCGGCTTTGGCCTCGAGGTCGAACTGAAACTTATCATGAAGTGGAGGCTTTCGGGCTTAGGGTTTAGGGTTTAGGGTTTAGGGTTTAAGGTTTAGGGTTTAGGGTTGAGGGTTTAGAGTTTAAGGTCCAAATTGGGAATACGCTTTTGGGTCCTCATATCAAGCATAGCAATACTTTGGGGGTCTATATTGGGGTCTCTCTGCTTATGGAAACTACCATGTCTCGCAATGTTTCTTCTGAAGCCGCTTGCGAGGCCTGAATTGAGCTGCCAAAATGGTGCTGTCTCTAAACCAGCCGAGGCTTATACGTGAGCGACACGGTTCAGGGTTTGGGGTTTAAGGAATCTCAAGTGCCATTGACCAGACCACACGAGTATGGCACGCGAACTACCCTCGCACGCACAAAAGATGCAGGTTAATCTCAAACATTATCACCTGTGTTGCATGGTACTACTTGTGGTTAGAAGCACGATTTGAGGAAACAAGCATACATCCAATGGCTTTGATCCTTGCGCTTGCTGTTTAGATAGGGATTTCCACAAATCAAACGTCCCTTTTGGAAGCCCCAGCATGAAAGATCATAGTTAATTGGGGGAATACAAGGAGCACCCTTACATTTGTAAACAATGAGATCTAGCACCATGAAATGCAGATATTCCCTAAGTCAGCTTGTATGGCCCTATAAAACCCTCTACAATCCTAAATATCCCTATAATATAGCCCTATATAATCCTATATGAGCTA